GTATATAGAAAATGCTTTGTTAGTAGAGATTGTACCTACGATCGCGTGATTTATCTACCTCAAAAAGATTAGTCCTTGACTTTCGACAAAGAAATACCTTTGAAATAAATTTTAAAAATAAATAAATAAATAATACGTTATAGAACAAAAGCATATATTTGAAACAAGGATTATATGTTAAAAATAAAAAAAAATCATTTATTTCAAATAATTTGATTCTCATTCTGATTTTCATTTTAAAAAAAAAAGTTGTTTTGGTCAATGTTTTAAAAATCAGATCGAAAGGGTCGAGTCAACCTGAGTTTCTGTGACTTGGTCGACTCGGTGACTCACGAGACAAATGAAATCTAATGGGTGTTTTTAAAAACTAGACGAAACTTTTGATCTAGAAATCAAACCCAGTCTATGAGAGTGAGTTATATTATCACTTACTATTAAGCTATCTTCATTTATTGGTCAAAATGCACCTTATATTAAATTAATGATCCAATAACTTAGTACCTCAATCGAATTGATGACATGACAAATTTTAAAATACTGATTTTGGTGATTGGTTGATTGCATCCCGCTCATAAGTTATAGAAAAGCAATAACAAGAATAGGAGCCATAAAATTCAGTGCTCCCCACCTTGTGATCCGCCTAAAGAAAACGAGAAGAGAGATGGGACCACATAATTAATTTCTCCCAGAATTAATGAACCTGACACTATTTTTGGTTGACGTCTCAATCTCAAAATCAATTCATTTTTCGAAGCCTTCCATTTACTTAATTCAATGTACCGTCGTTTTGGAGTCTTTAGCCTGACCCACTGTATTTAAAGATAATCAATGTTACAATTGAGTTTATATCTATATTTAATTATTTATATTTGCTATATATGCAAATATGAGATACAAGTAAGAGAAAAGGTAACGTGAAGTTAGCTTCTTCTTCTTCTTTTTTTAAAAAAAATTAAAAGGAAATGTTCTATTTACTAAAAAAAAGAAAAGGAAATGTTCTTTACACAGCAGAAAAGTTCATGCAAACTTATAATACTAGCTAGTAGCAGATCATGTTTCACATCTTAATTTCGCACATAATGTATAGACTATAAGGCATGATCAAGCGTAACTAAACAATAAAAACTTTATAAATGTAAGATAATATATGCAAATAGTATCTTTTTTTTTTTTAAAGAAAACAGTGCTTAAAATTTAATTTATCCACTAAGATCTCAAAGTTGGAATTAAGTAATTAAAATGAACTGCCTATAAATTTATAACAGTAAGAGTTGTAAAGAGAGGGGAAAAAAATATTCATTATCACTAAGCAAAAATAAAAAATAAAATGAACTTCTTATAAATTAAAATGAACTGCCTATAAATTAAAATGAACTTCCTATAAATTTTTAAGAGTCATCATCTCTAAAAAAATAAAAATTTAAAATAAAAAAGAAAGATAGACAATGTAATTTAAGTACTTCTTTAAAAATAATCAGTTTATCAAATATTCTAATAATTAAAATTGTCACCGTTTTAAAAAAACTATAGATAATGCAAATTATCATATATAATACCCAAAGTATTTTAAGTAAAACATTTAAGAACGTATTTAATTTCATGTTGCATGAGAGAAGGAATCTTATATCTTAGGCATATAATAATACAACCCATCAACTAAAAAAAATTGCACAATTATTAAAAAGTGTGTTGAATTTATTTTTACATTAATATAAGAATAATTTTTCTAACATTTAAAACAAGTAATGTAACAAAACAAAAAACTCATTCTCTCAAAAATTGATGGATAAGTCTGTCAAATGAATAAGACATTTACTTGCATTTGCATGGACCCCAAAAAATTATTCTTGTTCGGTAAACATGGATATCTGAAGTACGCTTTTATTAAATAAAGAAAAGGACACACGACTGCAGAAGATACATCAAAAGTACATCGAAAACACATAAAAAGCATTTAAGGTACAAGGGCTTTGCTTACCGTACCTTTCTTTTCTTCGATTTCTTTCTGTTGGCTACCCTACAAATAACGAATACAGAGCCAAAATTTTCAATTGATTAAATGCAACCTGGCCCCAGAGCACATTTTTTTTTTTTGGGTATATATCAGAGCACATTTTTAATCCACCGAGAGTAGGTATTTTCTTTCTAAAATGTAATGGAAAGAAATAATTATAAATAGAGTTATTGTAAATATATTAATTTTTTATATTTGATAAAAAATATACTAAGTATACCATCCATCTATATTACCAAAAATATTTTCCTCCACCGTACCGTGCTAGTTTGGTCCCTTCAATTCTTATTTCCATGTAGCTTGACACCACAGTTTTTGTTCTAGATACAATAGCTTCCATCGAATTTTGTTCCAGATATATCTTGGTTAGATCTTTTAAATTTTTTAAGAGTTTAAAATTTTCAAATATTATTCTGAATGAGCTTGGATTTTTTTTTAATTCTTATAATGTATATTTACCTACCATGTGATTTCCGTTATAAATAGAATTAAATTTGTAGTGCATGATAATATATTAATGAGTGAGGATATTCTAACTACCAAAAATTCTCACTACTAACTCTTACTACCCATCACATCACCATTAGATCAAAGAGAAAGAATGTTAAAAAGTGTTTGAAGAGAGAGAAAATGTTAATCTAATAGTGATTAGATAAGTAGTAAGTTGGTAGTAAAAAATTTTAGTTGTAAGAATATCCCTTCTCTATATTAATATGTTTGATATTGATAATTTGAAGCCGTGGATGAAGTTATGAGTGAACAATTGAAATTTTGTACTTTTCAATCAAACTAAAGCAATTAAATTTTTTCCTCTTCAAATAATATAGTTTATAAAAACAATACCAATCTAGTGAAATAAGTCTAGCATTTCATTCATTTTGGAGAAAATTATTTCCTTTTGTCCTCACATTAATTTTTTTTTAAAGATGGTGGTGACCCACCATGTGAATGGGTCTATTCTAATTTCTAAGAGATAAAAAATTTCCAATAACATAAAGAGCCATTTTGTCTTCATTCATATCAGATTAGCGTCTCATGTCGTCTCAATATATATTTGAAATTTTTTGTAGGAATCTGGCATAGAAAGAGAAAGAAATTAGTCTTATAAAATTAGTCACAATTTAAACCGTGACTAATTTTTTTCAACATAAATTCTATACCTTTTCCATCGCATGGGAGACTTCAGAGTTGCAGGACCAGTCCCACTAAAATAAATGTGAGATTCATTGCATTAGACTGATTTACATTTAACAATAATATTATTACACCTCTCCACCTGGAGAGAAAATGTAGAGGGCCCAGCACATTGGTCTCTCTAGAGAAAAAAAAATAGAGAGAGAAAGAAGAGAGAGGAGAGAGAAAGGGAGAAGAAAAAGAAAAAAAGGACTATGGAATAAAATTTCCTCCACCTGTCAGTGACATATGGATATACGGGTGCAAATAAATTGGACTGAGCTAAATTTTACTTTAAATGAGCCAAACCTATGAATTTTTTTTTGAACTTGACTTGGCTCATTAGCCTTGCACCAGTACGAGCTAAATTCTAAGTCTGACTTGGTTTATTTATGAAAAATTAAAGATTTGACTTAGCTCATTTATAATTATAAAATGTATTTTTTTTCAAACTTTGATACGTCCAAATGTTGAGACTATAAATATATTAAATTTTGTATTCCTTCCTTCATAGAGAAAAAACAATCATAGAATCCACTCAGTTTACATATAATTACACCTTTCATGCTATTTAGCAGGAACAAAAAAATATTTTTAATACATTCAATTATCCCACATATCAGCTCAGCTCACGGGCTTTCATGCCAAGCCTTATTAAATTAGGATTGAACTTGTTTGCTACATAAACTTTTTTTAAAACTTGAGCCCGTTCTATTTATAAATAAGCTAGGCCAAACCAAACTTAAAGCAAGCTAAGCCTTGGGCCCCTGACAAGCCGTTTGGTCCATTTATACCCCTACTTGGGTGCATGAAGAATAGTCTTTTTATTCAGCTTTATCTTTTTGGGAAGAGTTATATTTACAAATTAAATTATTTACGAACTCTTACAATCAAATCTTAACCGTTGTTTTTCGTCAATCTAACGGTTATAATTAATAAGTGTGACCCAATATATGATAATGGTTAGATTGACATAAATCAACGGTTAAGATTTAATTGTAAGAGTTTGTAAACAATTTAGTTTGTAAATATAACTCTCTCCTCTTATTTTATATTTCATACTTTGAATTAATTTTTGTTATATTTACTATATATGTTTTGAGTTTATTTATTGCCTCTTTAGAAAAAAATCAAAAAACTAATCCAATCAAAACTACTTTGTATCGATCAGATAATTTGAAGTTGTGTTTGAAGTTATAATAAAATCAATCCAATCCAATCTAATTCACTAGCTCTTCGATATTTAGAGTATGTTTGGATAAACTTTTGTTTTTAAAAAATTGTTTAAAAAATAAAAATAAAAGTTACTTTAAGAAATTTTAAATATTTAGATAGCAACTTTTAAAAAAAGAAAAATTCAAAATAAAAATTAAAAAATGGTGCTTTTTTTTAGCCAATAGTTGATTGTTTTTTAAAAAATAAAAATTAAAAGAATATAAATTTTAAAAATTTAAATTTAAGCTTACTCATTAGCTTTTCCTATCCTACGAACATGCTGTTACGATTTCATTTTTTTTTTTTTTTTGTATATACGATTTCATTTTTTTAATTACAAAGACTAGTTTCTTTTTTAAAGAGCTTGGCAGTCTTTTCTTACAACCCAGTAATTAGTCACGATTTCAATTTTTCCTGATTTCCCTGCGCGTGACTCGTGACACGTATTATGATTTTATTTCCTTTTACATTTATTTTGTTTTTACCATCATATTTTCGTGGTTAACGACAACTGGCAAGAGTTTTGATCGAAATTTCCTTTCCCTATATATGCATTTGGATCTCAAACGCAGGTCAGGCTCAGGGCCCATTCTTGAAGATGAAGGGCTTGTGGGACAAATGGAAACCAGCGGTGCTAATGGTGGTGGTGCAGATCACATTTTCTGCTTGCAATATACTCTACAAGCTTACCATTTATGATGGGATGAGCACTATTGTTCTTTCAGCCTATCGTCTCGCCTTCGCAGCGGCTACCACCATTCCCCTTGCTTTAATTTTTGAGAGGTAAGTGTTTGTTTATTTTGCAACTTTGCATAAATAAATTTTGTATATTATTTCAATCGTATTACTAATTATTAATAGACAATTATTATGATTAGTTATCATGACTGATTGATGATGTGACTGCTCTAATATACTCAATTTAAATTGAAAAGAAAAGAAACAAACGTTACAGCTTCTTTCAACTTGAAACTATGGCAATAGATCAAGTTTGCATTTTTTTCTCTATACAGGAAGAGACCAAACATGACTCGGAAGGTGTTTGGTTTGGCATTTCTCAGTGGATTGTTTGGGTATGTATTTGGTAAATTCTACCATTTGCCCCATGTCACAACTTTGATCGTGTATAATTGATGATTCATTAACAAAAGTTATATATATGAATATATGTTGTATATATAATGGAACAGTGGAGCTTTATTTCAAAACTTATTCTATGGAGCCCTGACATTTGCCCCGGCAACCTTGGTGTCCGCACTCTACAACCTTATTCCTTCAATCACCTTAATCTTGGCCATTTGCTTCGGGTACGTTTACTCACCTTGGCAATATATATACTTGATCTTCTTTCTTGAATTAATGTTGAAAATCCCAACAAGACTTGACATGATGAACAAATAAAATCTAACTGGGACAACCCCAAAGGTCTTGGCTTTGGGTGTTTAAAACAGAATCCATTTAATCAAATAAAAAAAGTTTCATATTATTCATATTTGTTTTAAAACTTTTTTTATTATACCTTAACTCAGACTTTAATTTATTTTTTCAATCAAATTAATCAGATAACTTTATAAGAAAATTGATTAAATTGGATGACTTGATTTTTTTCTTCTTCAAAATCATTTCAATCTAATATGTGAAAAGCGAAAACCCTAATATTTTATTATTGTGTATGGAGCAACTTTTCTTCTTCTAACTTTCATCAATAAAAAAAAGAAGCTAATTGTTTTAGAAATTTTTAACTAACTAATAAAAATTAATATTCGAGCTAATAAAAGCTATACATTTTTAATTTCATCTATAGATATTTTTAATATTTCATCTGAATTTAAGCTTTTTCTTTATTTTCTTTTTTTTTGTTTGAAAGAAAAGAGAGAGCAACTAACAAGTCCTAGGTGTAGCTATCCCCACTACATCCTTCCACAGGAGTTTGGTACATCTACTAGAGGGAACTGTGAACTCCTGAGTGTATCAGCTATGTCTCTAATAATTCACCGCTAACCAATCTGCAACTGAGTTTCCCTCCCTGAACGTGTGTGAGATGATCACCGTCCAAGACTGACTTAGCAACATTCTTATTCGATTAATCAAATCCACTAAAGGATGATGGCGAGGACATCTTTTCTGAATAAATTGAATTGCCACCAAAGAATTGCCTTCCACCCAGAGATGAGAATATCCCTTATTGAATTGCTAATTAGAGTCCTGTATAGAAGCCCCAAAGCTCAGCTCTCAAAGAATTACCATTGCCTAAAAACCTTGAAAATCCACCAAGCCATTGCCCAATGTTGTCATGGAAAGAACCACCACAACTTGATGTATTACCATTCAAGCTGCTCGAATCATCAACGTTGAGTTTGATCCATCCCTCCTGCAAAAAACTACATCCGATTAGGCGCTGTTGTTTTTGCCCAACCTACAAACCTGATCCTTCTAGAGTGTTTTGTCCCACAATAAAATTGTCACGATAACACAAAATCCTCGTACAAAGCCCATAGTCCGAGTTTTGTTTGTCTTCAAATATCAGAGAATTTCGGTCCTTCCAAAGCGACAAACAAGTTATGCCAAACGTTAAGACCAATGTGTATCAGTCACCCATGTAGCCTTATCCAAAATATTATTTAGCAGCCAATCCTGTGAGCATGTTGAAAAGAACTCGTCCCCCTTAGCAGGAATCACCAAACGCTTCCAAACAGCTTGAGCATAAAAACAGTCCCTAACAACATGGATTCCATCTTCCATGTGAAAATGACAACGAGTGCAACTAGCATCAGTTGTCATGTGCCCATGACATCGAGTATCATTTGAAAGAAGGCTGTTATTCATGAGAAGCCATAAAAATATTTTAAATTTTTAATCCTTTTGGGCCCCTCCAACTCCAAACTGCCTTCCATTTTGCTTCCACAGCTCTCCCTCCTGGTCTTATGAGCATCTCATAAGCTGATCTCACTGGATATGTGGGAATTGCCGTTAGAACTTAGAACAGCTTTAGCAAGAGTAACTCGTCCTGCTAAGGATAACCGAGATTGGTTCCACTTGTTAAGGCGATCCATAAGATGATCATGAACATATTTGAATGCTGATCTTTTAGATCGATTATATTGTGTAGGGATACCCAAATACTTACCCAAGTCCGGGGTATTAGAGAAACCCATACGTCGGGTCAATTCAGTGTGGCTTTATGAGAATGGACATTCTTAGAAAAGTACACTTTTGTCTTTTCGTGGTTGACATGTTGGCCCGAGGAGGAGCAAAACATAGCTAATGTGTCTGCTACTATACCAGCTTGATCCAATGATGCTTCCGTGAAGAGGAGAAGGTCATCTGCAAAAAATAAGTGAGATATTTCTGGTCCATTCTTCTTCAGACAGATTGGCATCCACTTGTTTCGCTGCACCGCCTCTTGGATGAGATGAGCTAACCGTTCAATACACAAGACAAAAAGACATGGAGACAGGGGATCTCCCTGCCTAACACCTCTTGAAGGCCTACTCCCTTGTTGTAGACCCATTCTATAACACATTCCGAGACACACTTCATAAATCAACTTTAATTGGCATCCACCTTTTCTTACCTTTCTTTGATCTTATGGAGTGAAGGATTTCCTGAGCTATAATCACATTATCTGTGCAGCTATGTTAAGGTTTTCCGTACACATTAAATATGTACTAATTGGTCTGGTGCGCCATTAACTTATTTAGATCATTTGCGTGGAAGTTTCCAATAGGGTTCAACGCCCCTAAGAGAATAACACACACATATATATATATATATATATTTTTTTTTTTCTTTTTCTTTTCTTTCTTGAACTCCTCGTGGGAATCTCTAAGGCACCACTTTAATGGTGAGGGGCTCTTCAACTCTCTAGCCAGGTGTAGTATCGAAAAAGAGTACACCAATGTAACTTAATTAAAAAATTTCACCAATATTCAAAATCTCAATTGATAAATTAATTCCTTTGGGGGAAAATTACATAATACTCCATTGAAGTGTAAGCCATAATTTTACTTTTCATACTTCAACTTATAGTTGTTACATATAATATCCTAAATTTTTTGTAAAATTAAAAAACATCACATTATGAGAACTTTAACATCTAAAATTTTCTATCATAACTCAATAGGAAATTATACTTACAACCACATTTTTTACCGTTGGATCAAAATAAAATCAACAGTTATAAAATAACATCAAATGAGCAGTTGATTTGATTTTAATGCAATGATAAAGAAATTAAAATAATTGTAATAGGTTATAAAGAAAAATATATTGTAAGCATAACCTCTCCTAACTCGATATATTCATATCAGAACTAAATTGTAAATTATAACTATTACAATTAAAATAATGACAAAATAGATCAAGACTAGTCAAATTATTTGTTAGAAATCTCACCTTGTTTGAAACCCCTTCAATATTTAAATGGTTTCTCCTTATTATATCCCAACCTTATATCTAGCAAGAAATTGAGAGATCAATAGCCTTAATTAATGAAAAATGAAAGTAAACTTGTAATCTACCCAATTTTTAGAAAGTAAATAACGGAACTATCTTTCAAGAAAGCTATGCTTAGTCAGGCCAATTATAGGAGAATAAGTGTTTGCAGATACTGATCAGTGGAAATTAAAGTTACTTATATGCTCCCAATTTATAATACTCTTGTTTAATGTACTTACCATGCCTCTATAGTTTCGAAAAATTAAATTGGGGAGCAGCAACAGGAAAGGCCAAGGTATTCGGAACAATAATTGGACTTGTTGGGGCAATGTTGCTGGCCTTTTACAAAGGGATAGTATTTCATATTTGGCATTTTCATTTCAACCTTTATACACTATTGGACCAAACTGGGCACGAGAACGCTGACCATGGTAATGAATTGTTGGGTGCTCTATGCGTCATAGCAAGCTGCTTCTGTTTCTCTATCTGGATGATCATTCAGGTGAGCTTATTTTCTTTATCTACGGTGCTAGTTTCATATTTTATATATATAATTGTTGGGTGCTCTATGCGTCATAGCAAGCTGCTTCTGTTTCTCTATCTGGCTGATCATTCAGGTGAACTTATTTTCTTTATCTACGGTACTAGTTTCATATTATATATATATATATATATATATATATATATATATATATATATATATATGATATTTTGACTTTGGTGTAAAAATAAATAATCTTACTCCTTATCCTTTATTTATGTGAAGCTGTCATTTGACTTACTGTGTGTCTTGTTCATTGATTAATTACTTTATATGGCACAGGCTAAGATAAATGAAGGATATCCATGCCGATACGCAAGCATAGCTTTGATGTCTACAATAGGAGCAATACAATCCATTATTTTTGGTCTTTGTGTTGAGAGGGATTGGAACCAATGGAAAATGGGTTGGGATGTCAGGCTCCTAACTGCGGCTTATTCGGTATAGCTCGTTGTTAACTAGCACCGTAGTCGTGATATGTCTACATGAATATGCGAATTACGAATGATATTCATGTGAGCTAATGTGTTATTTACAGGGAATTATGGCCTCCGGAATTATGATTATTGTCATTGCATGGTGCATACACGTGAGAGGCCCTTTATTTGCATCTTCTTTCAACCCTCTAATGCTTGTGCTTGTGGCTATCGTTGCTTCTTTGACGTTGGATGAGAAATTATATTTGGGAAGGTATACACTAAATCTTTTTTTTCCACCTAAATATGTAGAGAACCAATTCAAAATCTTAAATTGTTGGTAAGACTACATTAATGACTTTATATTTCTTTAACACCCCTCACATAAGAGTCCATTGGACTTGAAGAGTGAACAAATGTACAGACCCACATATTTGTGTTTACAAACTCCACAAGATTTAATTAATTATTAATTAAACGGGGGCGGTGAAGATCAACTTATGACACTGAAGCTCTGATACTATATAAAAAACTAATTTAACCCAAAAACTTGAGTACTTGTGTGAGGTTATATTAATAATTTTATATTCCTCTAACAATATATATATATATATATAAGGAAGAATCCGTTTACAAATTACACTAAGTCTGACTGGTCATACACTCTTGATTGAAGTATAACCGGTCAGACATAATGTAGTTTGTAAGAGTTTGTAAATATATCCTTCTCATATTTATATATATATATATATATATATATATATATATATTGCTAGCCTTGGCATTCATGATTTAATTTGATTTTATTTTGGTTTTTATATCATCTATAGTGCGATTGGATCGGTGCTGATTGTGGTTGGACTATACGCGGTGCTATGGGGTAAGGGCAAAGAAATGCAAAAATGACTCAGTCAAAGCCATCAGAAACCACTGGAGATTCCAAAGCTACGAGGCCTTGTTGGATGGGAAAAGTGATTATCCACCTCTTATAACTATATAATCCAACGAGTATTAGCCTTGTTGAATGGGAAAAGTGATTATCCACCTCTTATAACTGTATAATCCAACGAGTATTATAACTATATATTCCTAAAGTACATAATTATAAGGAATGAAATGATATAACTTTGTGTACTTTAAAAGGATACGCACTGTATCCTTGTTGGATCCATGATGGACTGATAGTAGCTCATGATAAAATACAACCATATATGGTTATCACAATCAAACCCAAGACTATCAGGAATGCTTTTAATGATCATGACGATTTGTCAAAAACATGGACGTGGAAGAACATGATATTCACAATAATAGCAAAGAATAAGCTCTCTCCTGAGATTGTTGAATTTTCTATTAAGTGCTGAGGATGCAGATGATATATATGTGGTAGATATATATACCATGTACATTTCCAGTTGCGATTGCTTGTGTCTTGTTTATTCAATTATTGCCTCTTTTTTAGTAATGGTGTCACATCCTGTATTATATTGTTAGAATCTGCACATTTCATTAAATGTTGCTTCCACCAAAAACTCCACAAAAATATATTTGTAAATAGAAGTGTTAAAACAGGTTATGAGACGCGAGTCGACTTGTGACATGACACGAAAATTCATTTTTAGGTTGACCCACAAAAAAATTTGTGTTGAAAAAAATGTCATGCAAAAAATTTGTGTCGTATTACATGTCGTATAAATTTGAATTCGACCCATATTTTTTAGTTTATTTTTTTTTTAATTTCAATCCATTTATTTATTTATTTATCAATTGCAGTATTGACCCATAGTTTGCATGTCATTCGTGTTGTGTTGTGTCAATCGTAAAAAATTTGTATTGTGTTCGTGTTGCATGTATTTGTTTCAAGTCAAATCCGTATCGTGTTTACCCATTTTGATACCCATTATTAAATCGTGAAATAATTATTAAACGTTTTTCATAAATTTTTTAAAGGGTTCGCTTTTTCTACAGTCAGCTTTTTTTTTTTCTACACAAGAGTGACATGTGGCATCAGCAAACAAACTCGCTATACCTAGTGAATATAGCGTATAGTAACCTATCATTTTGTGACATGTGACATTTAAATTTTGGAAATTTTAACGTAAAATTTTGGAAGGTCATAATTTTTTGACTCAAGTGTGTGAATCTGGTATTTTTTTTTTTATTTCATGTAACTTTTCGAGAGCTACGCGCCGACAAATTTCCTTGGTCAACTCAAAAAATGATTTTTTGTGTCTCGTTTGACATATTTTATCTTTGTAAATGATGTTATTTAAATTTTTACTTTTCAATTCTAACAAATAATTCTCTAGGAATTTTCTAGAACGTAGATCTCAAAAAATTACGTGAGATCAATTTTTTTTTACGTGATTCAGATACCCAAGTCAAAAGTTATTACCTTCCAAAATTTTATGTTAAATTTTTCAAAATTCAAATGCCACGTGTCATGAAACGATAGGTAAATATTCGTTGCCACTGACAACGAGTTTATGTTTGTATGTCACGTGTCACTATACTCACTACAACTGACAGTGAGTTTGAACGCCTCATAAATCATACCACGTGGCCAAACGAAACTCACACCATGGAATTTCTTTGTTTCTGTATTTCTGAAATATGGGTGTGTGATTTGTTATAATTGATCTCATTCATAGTACAGAACATAAAATAGATCTGTAAATAGTTGTAACGAGTTTGGAGACGTGACAATTTGATACATTTTTCTAGGAACGTGACATTCAAAAAAAACATTGAGAAACGTGACAACTTGGTTAGTGTCTCTCATTCTTTGTGGCACCTTCTTGCATTAATGTAAAGAAAAATGATAGATACGTGAATTTTTATGAATACAGACCATAAAATCAACCATTTTTTTTCAATGTCTCTCCCTCACTTGCTCGGTTTTTTGACCATGTTATTGTAAAAACAATAACATGTCACCAGAACAATTATTTGGTTAATTTAATTATTTATATAATGCAGAAAGCGGTGCAGCGGAGTTTAACGTGTTAAGACACGCTTACGTTGAACGCACGTTTTGTGTATCAGGGACATGCTAGATAAGGTACCATGTCTAAATGCGGAAAGGAAAAAAAATGTGAGCGGCTTTTCAGTTTAGCAAAGTACACTGTAATGTATTTGGTTCGACTCCAAAAACTATCACCTTTTTGTCCCTTAACCAATTTATTGAAGTGAGGTAATAAAGTGAAACCTCTTTAATTGTAATGAGATAATATTATGTCGTCACTATCACTTTTTTTGCATCTCAAAATATTATGTTCAAACATCATAACTACTAAGGTTAATTTTTGTTAGCCTTTAATATTTCTATAATGAAAGTAGATAAGTTATTTATATTTATTTTTAAAATAACGTTGTTTTGAATTGAAAAATTAAAAGATTATAACAAAAAAAATTATTATAATCCTGAAAAAAATTATAATTATAAAAATACATTGATTTCTGCTTAAAAAAAATCATTTTAAATTCAATCTAGATAAATTATCTACGTTAACAATAGAAAAAAAGTTTTTTTTGTTATTAGTAAAAGCAATTGTACACTTAAAATTGATTTTATTTTTACAATTTTTTAATTTTTTAATTTTTGTCAATGTTAATTTTAGTAAGCACATAATTAAATTTGAGATTTCTAATCAGAATTACAACCTCTTGTCATCTCCGACGTGATTTATTATATACAAATTAAGAAGTCTTTATACTTAATTTTTCTTTATTTTGAGTTAGTAGCTTTGCTAAATTGAAAAGCTGCTCACATTTTTTTTCTTTTTGCATTTAAACACGGTGCCTCATCTAGCGAGTCTCCTCAAACTCCTCTGCGTACCTTTCATATGAGTACTTAGTTTAACTAAATAATTGTTCCGATGTCATGTTACTGTTCTTACATTAAGGTAGTTGTTCGGTGCTGGATAGACCGTATTGCTATACCATAGGGTATGCGTTCAGAGATAATGTATATCAAGTGTATACTAGGCTTATAGTCGATGTCCCAATCACTGCGCACAAGCAATAGGCTTATAGCCAAGGGGTGGGTGTGTGCACAGTGTGGGCAGAAGTAGTAAATGAGTTATGAGTCTGTACCTGGGGTCTTTAACCTCTTATTTATAAGGGTTACCTCTTGGGCTTGTGTAGATCTCCCAGTTGTAGTAGGATTTAACTTCCTTTCTGTTGGGATAGGGACTCTATCCTTAGCTGCCTTACTGTTTTATATTGTTAGGATAATTGGAGAATTATCCTTTAAGGGATCCTTGGGTAGGTGGTTAGGATATGGAAATATTCCATAACATTTGCCCCCCAGCCCGGCAGTTCGGAAGCTCGGACTGCTGGGGTGCCTAAGTTTGATTGATAAGTCGACCATACCGAGGTGCTATGATCCTGCCTTGGGTCTTGTGTGACTACCTCTTCTGGGCTTAGCTTTTTATATTGGCTTCTTTTCTCTTGAAGTCTCTGAGTAGTGAGGCAGTGTTTGCCTTTTTTTTTTTTGTTGACTTTGAGCTCGGCTTCTCTTGCCGAGGTTTTTTAGTTTTGACTAGGCTTATAGTCAGTCTTTTATATAGGCATTTGCCTAAGTTTTAGGATGGCATTTTGTGCCTCCTTAATAATTAACCCGACTTTGCACTTCCTGGCGTTAAGTGTCGTGGTTCCAGATTTGGCTCGGTTTCGCATACCGAGGTCTCTATTAGCATGGATTCCACCTTTTGCAAAGGTGTATTGTACTTTAGGGAGCACGCATTTTCTAACTACGACTTCCCCCTTTTGGACTTGACTTGCTGCCAATGTTAATTTTGGGAAGGTCTTTCGTGCCTTCTTGAACCATTAGTCCGGCTTCGAATACCATGACTTCTCTTGTTTTTGATGGACTTGGCTTCTTTTGCCATAGTCTTGGATTCTTGTAGGAGGAGTTCGCCTCCTCCATTTTAAGCCCGACTACGTATACCGAGGTTTTTATTTTGCGCCCCGCTTCATTTGCGATGGCTTTCTTTAAATTGACTCGGTTTTTGCCTTGTCTACACTTTTGAAGACAGTATCGTTGCGTTTCTGATTTTAGCCCGACTTAAAGTACCGTGGCTTTACTGTTGGACTAGACTTTTTGCCAGTCTTGTTTGAGCCCGGCTTCGCATACCGTGGCTTTCTACTTTGAGCCACGCTTCATTAGCGGTGGACTTTCTATCTGAACCCGGCTTCTCACGCCGTGGTTTTCTTATTTTGAACCCCGTTTCATTTACGGTGGATCTTTAATTTGAGGCTGGCCTGTTGGGCCTCAAACTTTGTCATTTGGCTTTGTTGCCAAAATCTTGAATAAGAGTCTGACATCATATGTCGCCTCAATTTTTCTTTTATCTCAAATTGGGGTGTGATACTTTTATAGGATCACGATCTCTCCAAATTTGTCTTCTCGGATTGGGGTGTTATCATTTTTGCTAGAATCACATCTCTCCAATTCCATCTTTCTTTTCTTTCTTTCTTTTTTCGGATCGGGGTGTGATCCTTTTGCTAGGATCACATCTATCCAATTTCGTCTTCATTTTTATCATGGATTGGGGAGTGATCCTTTTGTTGTGATCACATCTCTCTAATTTCGTCTTCATTTTTATCTCGGAGCCTGAAGCTATGGCTAAGGCTGAGTTAAAACTCAAGGCCGAGGTCAAGCTTTAATCTTGAAGCCCTTGGTTGGGCTGAGCTCAAGGCTGAGGCCGAGCTAATAAAGTTGAAGCCCTTAACTGGGCTGAGTTGAAGCTCAAGTCCGAGGCCGAGCTAATAAATTTGAAACCCTTTTTTTTTGGGTTGGAACTTTTCTTGGCTGACTTAATTGGGTCAGCGATTGCAGATATTATCTCTGTCATTCATTTAGCTGGTTGTAGTGAACCGAGTATTGAATATATTGTTTCCATATTTCTCCCTCAACCTTTTTTGGCTGAGGTGGTGCTTTGGTGAGGAAGTGTTTGCCTCCTTTTAACATCGAGCTTGTAGCTGTTCCTTCTGAGGCTTTCGCTTTGAGCCCAACTTTTTGCACTGTGGCTTTATTGATTCAGATTTAGCTTTTTAGCGTTAACTGAACAAAATGACCTAGCCAAGGTCTTTCATGCGGATTCCGCTTTTTGCTTTTAACCCAATTTTCTTAATTAGGTTTTCAAATTTGAGGCGTCATGGTGACTTGATCAAGGTCGTACCAATCTTCCCCTTGTTTTTCAAGCCTCATTTCATTTATCACAGCTTGTACACATGTTGTTTATTTTGACAACGTTTAGGATTCGGAAGCGTCCTTCCGTTTTCCTATGCCTCGGCTAGAAGCCACAGTCCTGCAGTATGCTTTTTATTTTTAACCTGTTTTCTTTCCAGGTTCTTGCACATTGCCAGACGTAGGTTTCCAATACCTTGGCTTTATAATATTTGACGTAGGTGTCATTTTTTGACTTCGTCTTGTTTCGTCGTTTTGACTTGTGAGTCATTTCAGATTGGGGTGTGATCCTTTTTCTAGGATCCCATCTCTCCAACCCTGTCTTCATTCTTTACCCCCGATTTCTATCATGGGTCTTTATCCCGGATTGGGGTGTGACCACATCTCTCCAAATCCGTCTTCATTTTATCCCGGATTGGAGTGTGCTCCTTTTTTCCAGGATCCCATCTCTCCCAACCGGTCTTCATTTTATCGCGGGTTGGGGTGTGATCCTTTTTGCAAGATCTCATATCTCCAAACCCGTCTTCATTTTATCGCATTTGCGAATATTTTTTTCTGTGTCTAGAAGTCGGCCATGTTCATGGTCCGAGCCTTGTTAGCCTTTGTTGTATGGCTTCAGCTATCTTGTTATGTTGACTTCTTTGCCGAAGTTTTATTGATTCATTGATCTATGTTCTGAATCCATAGATTCTTGTCGATCCGTGTTTCAGATTTATTTTTGTTCTTTCTTTGGTGCCGGGCTTCATGAGCCGGGTGCCGTGTGTACTATTTCAACATTCCTCCCTCAACCTTTTTTTTTGTTTTTGCCGAGGTATGTAGCTCGGACTAATTGACCAGTCTTTTTGACTGTCTTACCGAGATCTTGAAGTATGAGGATTGCTGCTTTTCTCTTTTAATTTTGGTTGCATTCCTGCACTTGCCCCCCAGTCCGGCAGTCGGGAAATCCGGGTTGTCGGGCTGTAGTGCTTTAATCCAAGTATCTTTATGTTGGAATCCTGACTTGCTTTTGTAATTTGCTTTTTTTGCTTATTTGAGGATATTCGAGATCCCTTTTCACTGATGCTGCGGGGTTTTGTTCCCAGTTCTTTGCATGTTTGGTTTGCAGAGTTAAGTTTCTCCTTGCTATAATTAGCCCAGATTTATATCTCGGATCTTTATTTCTATCTCGGATTGGATCTCGCATATCCGCCTTCAGCTTGGATTGGATTGGATCTCGCCATATCCGCCTTCGACTTGGACTGGATTGGATCTCGCCATATCCGCCTTCGACTTGGATTGGATTGGATCTCGCCATATCCATCTCCATTTTACCTCCGATTTGCATCTCGGATTTTTCGTTTAATTAACCATTTATATCCCGGAGGGCCAGTCTTCATTCTGACTTGGCCTCTTTTGTTGAAGCCTTATATTTAAGGAGACACATTTCGTCTCTTTGAATTGCATTGCTTCTTCTTGCATGGCTTTTTAATTTGGGCCCCACTTCTTTTGTGGTGCCATTTTATCTGAACCCGGCTTTATTTGCCGTGGTCTTTTCATTTTCTCGAGCCCGGGTTCTTGTGTCTCGACTCTTCTTTCAGCTTGGCTTCTTTCGCCTAAGTCTAATATTAGACTTCATCTTTACTTGGAGCCCAAAACTACGAGCTTTTTCTCAGTTTGGCTCTCTGGCCAAATCTTATCTATGTGGATTTTCTTCCTTGTTTGAGTGGATCTGGATCTCCTTCCTTTTTTAAAGGGATCTCTGCATCACCTGTTTAATTATTTCTTGCATCATAATAAAGCATGAAGAAGGCAATTAGTAATAATTTTGATTCAATCGTCAATCAGTAATTATCCAGTTGCAATCAGCAATTAATGATAATTCAATCAGCAAATTATATTTGACCATATTTTATGCTATATGATCTGATTGAGCACCCATCATAAAGCTCCATGCTTCCCAATTTTCTTGATCTTCATTTGTACTCCATAGGGAACGTGGCCTCATGTGAAACCTGATGCTCCTTTTTTCATGATAATATTTAAAATATCTGCCGACCTGTTTTTGTCAACATATAATACTAAACTCATGCATAACAATGTTGACCAACTTTCAAAATTATGCATCTCGCATATCAATGCTTATAGAAATTTTATATAAATTTTTTGTTTAGAAGGAACTCATGAAGATTATGATAATAATTTATGGGATATAAAAGTAAGGAAAAGAATGGTTCCTTATTATTTTGTAACCATCTTGCTTGCAATAGAGAACGGTTCCTACAATGTTATTCTCATGCCAATTTGATCCCGATTTTGGTCGCAATGCCGAACCGTTATAATTATTGAAGTATGATCCCGACTCTAGTTATGACTTAGTCGAGATGCTTATTGTTGGATGTTGGCCGAGATGCTTTTTGAAGTCGGCCTTGAATTTCAACCAACTCCTCTTCATCCTGCATATCAATTACCCATCTTTTGCTTGGAGAAATTGTTAGTAGCTACCAACAAATATATTATCTACTTGAGTAGATTGTGTATATAGAATATGTCATATGGTGACATTCGAAAGTAAATAAAATAGAATTATCATAAAGGAAGTTATCTCGTTATCTAAGTTGTATTTCGATGCCAGCGTCTTTAATGATGAAAGAGCTCGGCTTCCCAAGCTGGTTATACTCATAATGTGGCCTATAAGCTTGCGAAAGAGAGACTGGCCTTGGGGCTTCTCTTGAACCGAAATCATCAGGGGTTCTCTCACTTTAAGGCCTTGTCCACAGTTGGAATCATCATATCTCGGTTGAATGCTAGATCTCGGTTGAATGTTAGAAAAGTTGATTTAACATTGTTTGTTTTCATGCGTTGTTCTTGTAGCATCAAGTGCGAGATGGTTATCTGGGATAAAGAGCTTGAGCTGAGTCTTTATATTTCACTGCAAACTCTTTCTTGTGTCTAGAGGTATTTGCATTGCCTGATTATTTAGCTCTGCTCTTCCACATTTTTTTTTCTGCATATCACTATTTCTAGGAAAAACACATCGAACAAGAAGCATGTTTTGCAAAAGTATATAGCCTATGCGAGTGGCTCATGTAGTTGTTGTGAATCACAGGTCCTCTAATGGTGTTTCTCTCAAACACTTAAAACACACAAGGAGTTCTCTGAATATACCTCTTTGTATATCATTAACATTCAAGCCTTACATTCAAATGATTTACATGGTACTATTTAAAAACAATAGCAAATAACTAGAAATACTAATGACTAACTTAGGAAATCTAAACACATTAATGACTACTTCTTAGAAACTTTAAACTCATTAATGTCCACTAACAAATTCCTAAGGGACACACCTCTTCACCACAAAACCTTTCATTTTCTATTTTCTTTTATTCAAATAAAGTTTAAAACCCAACAAAACTCCTCCTTAAACTTTAATATCTCTACCATCCTTCATTCCCATCTTCTTCTTGCAATTTTCAAACAACAACGTCGGCAGAGGCTTTGTAAAAATATCTCCAACTTGATCCCGGCTTGCAACGTGAGTGAGCTCCACTTTTCCTTCTTTGACTTGATCTCGGATGAAATGAAACCTGACATCAATATGCTTACTTCTCTCATGATTGATCGGGTTCTTTGCTAACTCGATCGCAGACTTGTTGTCAACTCGGATTTCGGTTGCGCCGACTTGCCCTTGCTCCAGCTTGCTTAGTAAATTCCTTAGCCATATTACATGGCAAACACACCAAGATGCCGCAACATACTCGGCTTCACATGTAGACAGGGTCACAATGGGTTCCTTTTTCGACACCCACGTGAAAGCCGTGTTTCCCATGAAAAACACATAGCCAGCCGTGCTCTTTCTATCATCAACATCTCCGCACCAATCACTGTCCGAATAACCCGTCAACTTGTATTTGTCCGACTTCGAGTAATGAAGTCCTTGTGAGGTTGTTCCCTTCACATATCTCAGAATTCTCTTAGCCGCCTTCCAGTGAGTGTACCCCGGGTCTTCCATAAATCGACTTATGATTCCAACACTCAGACACAGATCCGGCCTCGTACACGTCAAATATCTCAGACTTCCAACTAGACTCCGGTAGTAACTCGGATCAACTCTCTCTCCTCCATCATACTTCGAAAGTTTCAACCCGGGTTCCATTGGCGTTGAAACCGGGTTGCAGTCTGTCATTTTAAACTTCTCTAGAAGTCCTTTTGCATAGGCTTCCTGAGAGACGAAGATCCCAGATTATCTTGTCTGACCTCCAGACCAAGAAAGTACCTCATCAGACCGAGATCCGTCATCTCGAACTCCTTCGTCATTTTCTTCTTAAAGTCTTGAATCATCCCTTCATCATTACCCAAGAAAATCAGATCATCAACATATAGAGCAACAAGTAGAATTTTACCTCCTTTCTTCTTCACATATAGTGCATGTTCATATGGACATTGTTCAAGTCCATCCTTCTTGAAGTAATTGTCAATTCTTGTGTTCCAGGCTCTTGGGGCCTGCTTCAATCCATACAAAGCTTTCTTCAGTCTCAACACTTTTCTTTCTTGTCCGGCTTTCATGAATCCCGGAGGTTGTTCCAGATATACCTCCTCTTCGAGTACTCCATTTAAGAATGCCGACTTCACATCCATCTGATAGATCGGCCATCCGAATTGGGCTGCTTGAGAGATCAACAGCCTGATTGTCTCCATTCTTGCTACGGGTGCGAACACCTTGTCATAATCAATACCGGCCTTCTGCCTATACCCTTTCGCCACTAGCCGGGCTTTCTATCTTTTGATCTCCCCTTTAGCGTTCATTTTCTTCTTGTAGACCCATTTCACACCAATGGGCCGACTTCCTCTGGGCAGCTCGGCAAACTCCCACGTCTTGTTTTTTTCTATCGCCTTTATTTCCTCCTCCATGGCTGATTGCCATTTCTCATCTCGGATTGCTTCTTCAAAACTCACTTCTTCAGAATCTGCCAACAGACATACCAAGTGTGCTTCACTGGTGGAATCATACAAATCTTGTAGACTCATCAATCTCGGTTGTCTCTGCTCTTCATCACTATCTGAGTCATTCGGATTCTCAGGAATCCGGGTCGAAGGTTGTCCGACCTCAATTGATATTAGTTCGGGTTCCACATTGACCCCGGATGGACTACTCCAGTCCCATCCATCTTCCTCATTCACTTTTACATCTCGGCTCACAACACCTTTTTATTGACGGGGTCCAGCAACTTGTACCCCTTCGTCTTCTCATCATAGCCAATAAACACATACTTCTTACTTTTATCTTCTAGCTTTGTCCTCAATTGATCTGGTATGTGTGCATACGCAACACTACCAAAAATCTTGAAATGAGCCACTGATGGCTTTAGACCACTCCATGCTTCTTGTGGAGTTTTATCATTCACACTTGAGTGCAGACATCGGTTTTGCACGTACACGGCACATTGCACGGCTTCTCCCCAGAACTCCTTTGGCATGTTCTTCGTTTTTAGCATAGATCGGACCATATCCAGGATAGTCCGGTTCTTTCTCTCAGCTACTCCATTTTGCTGGGGCGAGTACGGAGCGGTCAGGAACCGCCTTATCCCATGTTCTTCACAATACTTCTTGAAAGCTGTTGACACATACTCCCCACCTCGGTCTGAGCGGACCGACTTGATGTATCTTCCAGTACCATTCTCTATCATTGTTTTAAAACTCCTGAATACCTCTAGCACCTCAGATTTTTCCTTCAAAAAATATACCCAAGTCTTTCGACTAAAGTCATCAATAAAAGTTACAAAATATTTCTTACCACTGAAGGACCCCGGAGTAATGGGTCTACACAGGTCGGTATGTATCAACTCCAGAGGCTGCCTAGCTCGGTATCTTGCCATCCTTTGGAACGGGCTTCTCGCATGTTTTCCCAATACGCAGTCCTCGCAAAATCTTCCTTCAGAATTAATCTTCAGTAGTCCCACTACCATGTCCTTCTTCATCATCTCGGTCAGACCACCATAATGAAGGTGTCCAAACCGTCTATGCCACAAGTCCATCTTATCTTCTACCCCGGCTTGAAGACAGCCGACCTCCATGCTCCTTAGACTCAGCTTGTACATTCTGTTCTTTTCCATCTGAACTCGGGCTATCAGACGCCCTTGTTTATCTTTCAACAGTAGAACTCGGTCTGTCATTAGAACCGAGTAACCCTTCTCCATCAGCTGTCCAATGCTTAATATGCTACTTTTGAGCTCGGGCACGTAATACACGTCTCGGATTGTACCAACTCGTCCATCCTTTTGCAAGAAACAAATCGTACCTCGGCCCTTTACTTCAATTTTGGACGCGTCTCCAAAAGAGACATGTCCGGCTTCCACCGTCTTCAACTCCTTAAACAAGTGTTTGTAACCACTCATGTGATTACTGGCACCGGTATCCAAATACCACTCCGCCTCATTCTTTGAACTGGTTTCACCATGGGCTAGCATAAGAACTCCTCCATCTCCTTCTACAGTGAGGTTTGAAGCCTCGTCAACTCTTCTTTCATCTCGTCAATCCTTAGCGAAATGCCCAACTCGGCCACAGTTGTAACACTTGTCCGAGTTGCAATCTCTTGAGTAATGGCCATACTTGCCACACTTGTAACATTCCACATTTGTTTGATTTGACCACCGGCCTCTTCCACCTCGGCCACGTCCTCTTCCTCTCTGACTCGACTCAGCTCTTTCTTCATTTCTCACCTCATGACCTCGGCCACGACCACCTCGGCCATTTCCACGTTCAGCTCGTCCACGACCTCTACCTCAGACATTTTGAGAATAGAGCGCCTTCTCATCTTTAATGTTTGCTTTTGTCTGGAGTGCTTGCTCCAACGACTCCTCCTTTTTCTTCTTCTTGCGCTGCTCATGCGCCTCAAGGGAACCTGCTAGCTCTTCAACAGAAAGCGTAGCCAAGTCCTTCGACTCCTCAATTGCACATACCACATTTTCGAAGTCGTCGGTCAGCGACCTCGGAATCTTCTCAATAACTCTAGTATCAGATATCTGCTCACCATTCTGCTTTAACTGATTCACCACGGCTTGAACTCGGGTGATGAACTCGGATACACCCTCTGAATCTTTCATCTTCATGCCTTCCAACTCGCCACGTAGAGTTTGAAGTCGGACCTGCTTTACTCGGTCAGCACCTTTATAGACATTTTCCAAGATGTCCCATGCTTCCTTAGACGTCATTGCTCCTGCTATCTTCTCAAATCCGGACTCGTCTACAGCTCGGAAAAGAGTGTATAAGGCTGACTTGTCCTTAGCACGCGTCTCTTTCAACGCCTTAGTTTAAGCTGCTGTAAATCCTGCAGTGGTTGCAGGTTCAGCAAAATCGTCCTGAACAACATCCCAAGCATCCTGGGATCCGAGAAACTCCTTCATCTGGATACTCCAATTCACGTAATTCGCCTTTGTCAGGCGGGGCAACGACATACTGGAAGTGCTCACACTCTCCATAACTCAAGCTCTGATACCAATTTGTGAATCGCAGGTCCTCTAATGATGTTTCTCTCAAACACTTAAAACACACAAGGAGTTCTCTGAATATACCTCTTTGTATATCATTAACATTCAAGCCTTACATTCAAATGATTTACATGGTACTATTTAAAAACAATAGCAAATAACTAGAAATACTAATGACTAACTTAGGAAATCTAAACACATTAATGACTACTTCTTAGAAACTTTAAACTCATTAATGTCCACTAACAAATTCCTAAGGGACACACCTCTTCACCACAAAACCTTTCATTTTCTATTTTCTTTTATTCAAATAAAGTTTAAAACCCAACAGTTGTGAGATGTCATAAATAAATAAATTAGAATTATCATGAGAAGAGTTATCTTTTTATCCTAGTTGTATTTCCGATGTCAACGCTTTGTTGAGAACAGCATTTGCTGGATGCCTCCATGCTTTGGATGATGAAGAAGCTCAATCCAGGAATGTTGTGTCGTTGCTGGCCAAGGGCACAATCAATCAATCTCTACCACACTGGAACCGGCTTTGGAAAATACTGGAAGAATAATCGAGCAATATCCCTTTCTTCGTTTTGCCGAGTTATGCTAAGCCGACATGACAAATAGCATTTAAATAATATTACTGCCGAGCTAAGCTTTTGGGTGTGTCCTGCACATCTCAGCAAGTTGCTCACAGAGAAAAAGTGCCCCATCAAAGAAGCATCACGACATCTTTTTAATTTGCGTTCTTATATTTGGTAGTCTGGCTTCCCTAGCATTTCCTTAATTTGGTTCCTTTTGCCGTTCGTGGACGGGTTACACCTTCATAGGGTGACATTGTGCCTTACTCGGCTTCTGTGGTGGTGAATCAAATTTTCAGGAAACTCCATCGTGTCTCTGATTTTTTTCTTTGACGTCATCTTCTCCCTCATTAGGAATGGGGATCTTTTTTATTTATCGACATATCAAACCAGCTTTTACTGAGATAGAGCCCACAAAAATAAGCCAACGACCAGTGGTATATCAAACTGGCCTTAGACCAACTGGTATCAACTTTGTTTGGATATTTTGTAAATGTCCCTTGCATAAACAATATTTAATAATAATATTACTCAGCTATTGTAAATGTGCCAGATATATCCATTTGGCATGATATATACGATATTTAATCACTTCCTTTGGTTGTTAGGGTCCAAGGAAATCATCAATAAATGCATCAATAAATTTGAGATGGTTAGGATTATCAATGATAAGGAACAAGTAAAAAGTGAGACTTATCGTTTGAATCCATGCTCTTTCTCGGCAGTCCCTCCGCAACATTCAGTTTTGGTATTGTACATAGCCGATCTGAAGGTAGCGTTCGCGATGTGCCGAGAATCTGTCCCAGAATCTTTGCTTCTCAGATCTTCTCGAGTTTCTTAGCCTTCACCATCGGGGCTTGCCTTCAGGTATTGAGATAAGTCCATGAATATTTGGTGTGGATGATTGCTGCGCTTCTGCCTTTGATATTAAACCCGGCTATTGCTTTTTATCAGCAGAACCCGGCTCAAGTAACTGCCAACGACGGTGTTGCGCTTCTTGGAGCTCGGCTATAGAGACGGAAAACATCATGCCGGTTCGGAAACATACCCGGTCTGGTGAGAGAACCCGGTTGGTTGCCACCGTTATCCACATCATTATTCTCGCCAAGCTACTAACCAATTGG